CAACCCGAGCTCGAATCCTAGGACCTCTATCTATTAGACACTGAACTTCTTTTAGGACCTTCACCTAACCAAGAAAACCCTGGGTGTTGCCTCCTCAACTTTAATCCCACACAAGACCAGCTGAATATGGGCCCAGAACCCAGGCACTCCAGGATCACAATGTGTGCATGTAAATTTTGAATCTTGGGGAATACCCTGAATGGATGTGCAAACATTGTTCCATATTTATATTTATTTCAGTCAATTTACATTTGGATATGGTTCATTGCTTTATCATATTTACCTTTTAACTATAATTTGTTTGTAAATAGTTGTTGCATTTTAGTTCAACCACTTTATTAAGGGTTTTCAATATGAAGTGCAGCTGGATTTGTTCTAGTTCTTACTAAATCTGTTCACATAACTGGTATCAAGATGCAGTTTGTGAGTCAGGTTGTAATTTAAAGTAAAACCTGAAAGGAACAACAAATTATATAGTCTATCCATACTTCTTAATACTATTTTGAATCTGGTAATTACTTTGAATGGTTATCCGAGAATTTGTTGCCTTGTCAGTCAAAAGGTAAATTATCCAGAGAGAGAAGGCAAAATTAGACGTGCTTTATTTGCATGCTTGCACTACAATTATATTAGTGCATATTGTCTTATATTTTTCTGTTTTCTGTTTGCTAAAATGTTTGCAATATATGCTTTACAAGGTTAGATTTTTGCTCATGAATTGAGCTCTAGTTTACTGATTTTACTGTGAAGACTTCCATGGCAGGGTCTAAAAGCTGCCACAGAGGAAAAGAGAAATAAAATGATGTGTAAAAGGAAGCTTTGTAAAATTAAGCTTTCAAGTCCTGTTGAGGTATGTCTTGTCAGTTTCCATGACTATCCTTGTCAAGACAGCGTGAACTTTTTTGAATCACTAGTTATATTCTTGCAATAGGTTATGTACCCGCCTTATCCAGAGGAACTAGGTCATTACCTTGCCTACTGCCAATTTTTAGAGTGTTATGAACAGCCTGCTTATGGATATTTGAAGGGCATTTTTCGTGACTTCTTGACTCGTCAAGGTACACAGTCAATCAATTCTGCTCTCCACTGTACATCTGATTGTTTTTTGCAGGTCCATGGTTCTTGAACTAGACTAGTTTTTTGTAATTGCTCGTGCTCAAGGATTTGTCTGGTTTCTTAAGTATTTTTTGTACATTTTTTGGACTATAATTCTTGCAATGCCATTGCCTTATGATAACTCCAAGTGGTAGATATAAGAAGAACAAGAAAAACATGTGATGATGAAGTGGTATTGTATCTGAAAGCAATGAGAACAATGTCTACCTTCCTTCGAGGGAAATCTAAACTTCAAAGTTCGTAGCAATTCATGGTGTATGTCTGTGCAATTCTTAGGTATTGCCCTCAGTTGTTCATAGCTCTCACAGAATGTGTATAGCCAATGTCCTGATTCCAACCTTTGTTCTAGGTTTTTGGGTCTCTGGCATATTGATGTAATTTGACACTTTCTATTGTAGGATTTCAATTGGTGTTTTAAAACAGGGATCTTCAATTGTCTATTCTAACTAATTCTAGCTAAATTAGTTTGTTGAGGAGAATAGGGAAACTAAGCTAGTTCTAACTGATACATGGGTATTTGTTAATAACAACTGATAGTCGTTGACTGATTAATAATAATGCATTTGGAAATTTGAGATTTTAAGTACTGAAAGTTAGATCTCAGTGTTATGTTCGGAAAAAAAATAAAAGAGAATAAATTTTACGAATAGACTAACTTCATGCACTTATATTGATAAAGCAAAACTTGTTGAAACTTCAGAAATTCCTGTTACCTGTATCAATAAAGCAAAATTCAAAGCAAGGCCGCTACCTAGATTTCAATGTTGGTTCTCAGATTCTTTTTGGTTATTCTTAAAAATTCAACCTATGGCTGACATACAGTGAGTCTTATGCTTTTTTAAAGTTGGAGTATTATATAATATATATATATTATAGTATCATAATATAATATATATATATATATATATATATATATAATAATATTATATATATATACTAGTAAGAGAGAGATGAGAAGAGAGAGAGGAGAGAGAAACTTATGTCAACTTAAGTGGACGTCCACTAAGTTTTCTTAGCCATTGATGATTACTTGATTGAGCTCATGTGGATGATCGTTACCGTTAAACTTGGATCTACATATTCCTAAAATTCAAAACACCAAATTTGGGTTGAACCGTCGTGGTTTGACCCTTCATCCACTCGTGTATCAATTTTAACGGTTTCGAATGAGTAGAACTTTTTATCAAACTCGACGGAGGGTCAAACCCACCACAGGTTCACCCTAATTTGGTGTGTTGGGTGTTTTAGAATAGTAGATCAAAGTTCAAACGGAGCGATCATCCACAATGTTAGCTCAATCAAGTGATCATCAATACTAAGGCCGACTCTAAAGTTGATCCTGAAGATCTATTTCCATACAATGGTCTTGTATGCACTCCTAGTGGTTAAATTTGATTTTCTGTTCCCATTTTGTTATATCAGGATACAAATTCGACTATGTTTATGACTGGACAGTCTTGGAGTATGAGCGAAACCAAAGGCCTTCTGTAAGTATACTGTACAGATTAGTTTCCTCAGAACTTGTTTCTGATTCTGTTTCTTGAGACAAAGTGCTTGACTGATCATTACTGCAATCAAAAGTGAAAGAGTACGTTAGTGTCTCGTTCTCCATGTTTACCAATGAGAATTATTATCTAACATGACAGGCAGCTCCGGTTGGGCCATATCGTCGAGCAAAACCAGTCAAGGAACGTGGTAAGATTCTAGTATTGGAATAGGGTTATTTTAGTTTCATGTAATTGATACTGAATGCCAGTTCTGGAATTTGATCCAAATAATGCCAGTTTAGCTTGTTGTAACTTAGAAATTTCAATCCATGCATGTGGAATTTTAATTCTACACTTCTAATTAGTAACTGTTACATAATGATCTGTAAATATAGTAGCACAACCAGTAAGGGCCTTCTCGATTATAACTCTTGGCATATCAACCTGGTAGGTGTTTGAAAATAATTTGAAATCCAGAGTATGTGTTTGTACTTCTATGATTCCTCATGGAAAAAATCCTTTTGATTTATGATTCTACGTTTAATTATGATTTCATGCGGACAAATGGGCCTTTAGTGTTAACTCACTTGATATAAAGGGAACGCAAAGTTGATATCTTTATAATTAATTTAGATGTGAACTTGGTAAGTAATGGACTAACGTTCGATAAAGGTGTAGATGAGGAGAAATAATGATCAAATTAAGCACAATTTTGACATGTGCCTAAAACCTGCAACCTTGTCTTTTGCTAATGTTGCCCAGGGCCAATGGTCAATGAAGACCTCTAGATGCAAGACAAATTCAATGATAAACTCTGATCCAGATTTAAGTGGGTAGAGTTGCTAGGATTTTAAGATTTTATTTGATTTTATCTTTTTGACTTTTAGATAGGATATTTGATTTTATCAACTAGATTGGGTTACATAGATTTTAATCTTAAATTGCATTAGAATTCAAACTGAATTTGAATTATAAATTTTATGGAGAGAGAAATTTTATCATTAAAGCAGAGAGAAAATTTAGAAATAAAATATGAAAAGTTTAGCATATAATTTGCTTGCAGGCACGATGTGCTAGGGTATGAAGTTAAAAAGTGTAGGTGTTGCGCATGATTTTCGCCTAATCGCGAATGTGCTTGTAGTGTGATGTTCCACTGATAGTCCTACTTTAGTAAATTGATTCGGATGGTTTAAATGATAGTTATTGAGAGTGAAGTGCAACATTGACCATTTAATTTTGGCGGTGGATTGAGCCAATCAACATGTTACACTTGGTAGGCCTCAGGCTATGATACCCCGACACCTCATTTTTGGTCCCGTACCCGTGTTGGGTATGTATTGGGTGCGGATCCGCACCCAAACAGCAGGGACACGGCTCGTGAGGGGAAAAAAATGACGCTGAAATTTCTAAAGGCAATCAGGCGCTATTTGAGCCCAATAACTCAAGCCCACTTGAAAAACAATTACCTCTGAAGCGATTCTGCCTTTACCATCTTCGAACCCATCGATTGAAGTGACGACCCATCAACGGAAGCGACGACCCCATTCCTCGACGACAAATCCTGCTCGACGACGAAATCAACTCCTCGACGACGAAATCAGAGCCTCGACAAAGCAATTTCAGCGCCTCGACGACGAAATCAACTCCTCGACGACAAAATTAGAGCCTCGACGAAGCAATATCAGCGTCTCGACGACGAATCCTGCTCCTCGACGACGAAATCAACTCCTCTACTTGAAGACAAGGTTTTATTTTACGGTTTTTAGGGTTTTATTTTTGATTTTTTTCCTTCTCCTTTTTCCTCGACAACAAAATCAGCGCCCTCCTTTTTCTCCTTTTTCCTCGACAACAAGATCCAACGCCCGACTTTTACTCCTTTTTTCTCCGATGAAAGTTGAGGCTGGTTTGGTTTTTTCCGAACATCTGACAGAGGTTGACTTGATGGCTTGCGAGTTACTAGCTCTGTAGTTTCTTGCTTTGATGGAGCTCAAGTCTGCTTGACGACTTTCGGTATGGGGTCAGCTTGAGCCGAGCTCGTCTCGTAACAGAAACAGGAAGAATAGATATATATGGGGGTTGAATTATAAATTATTTTTAATGCTTGTATTTGTCTATATTGATAATTTTATTAGTTCTAAATTGTTAATTAAAGTAAAAATAGCTTTCTATTTCTTATATGTAAGTATTTTCTTGTTAATAATTATAGAGAATTAGATGGAGATAAGTTCACAAAGCAAGCTAGAGGATGATAATGCTCCTCTTTGGAGATTATGTCACAAAACTTGGGAAAGCAGCGGGAGGTGGTGGAAATTGAGAATGACAATGCAATTATTGTCTTGAAACTTTTAAGAGTTCTCATTCAAGAGTAAAAGCACATCTCTTAAGACATCAATTATCTGGAATCATGTGTTGTGCAAGTGTGAGGAATGAAAATATTGTTGAGATGAAGAAAGTTTTGGAGCTAGCGGAGCTTAGATTGAAGGCAAAGAAGGGCAAAAGTGTTCCATTACCTACATCAAGAACAACCACCACAAAAGAAGTTGCTAAGAAGAGAAGAAGTGAGGGGAACACCATAGAACAATCCTTTAATCGTAGAGCTCGAGATCACCTACATGGTCTCATTGCAAGAATGTTTTTCACGGGGGGTTTATCATTCAATTTGGTAAGAAATCCATATTCATCGAAGCTTTTAAATATGCCACAAGCAATTCGCTTGGAGGTTATATCCCTCCCGGATACAATCTTCAAAGAACAAGCCTCTTACAAAAAGATAGGGCACATATCAAGATGTTATTAGAGCCCATAAAATTAACATGGAAAGCAAAGGGTGTTTCTATTGTTAGCGATGGGTGGTCCGACTCACAAATAAGGCCTCTCATTAATGTGATGGCGGTGACCGAAGATGGAACGATGTTCTTGAATGCCGTCAATGTGGAGGGGAGGGCTAAGAATATGGATTATATAGCCGATATTCTCTTGAAAGCCATTGAAGAGGTTGGTCCTCATAATGTTGTACAAGTCATAACCGATAATGCACCGGTTTGCAAATCCGTGGGAAGCATTGTGCAAGGAAGACATCCTCATATTTTTTGGACTCCATGTGTTGTCCACACACTCAATCTTACCTTAAAAAATAGTTGTGCGGCGAAGAATACCGAAAGAAATGAGGTAGTGTATGAGGAATGTAGTTGGATCACCGAAGTTAGCGATGATGTTGTTATAAGAAACTTCATAATGAATCATTCCATGAGATTGTCAATGTTAAATGAACATGTGAAGTTAAAAATGATTGTTATAGCCGAAACTCGTTTTGCTTCGGTTGTTATCATGTTGCGACGATTCAAGAAGATCAAACGTAGTCTTATGGACATGGTCATTAGTGAGAGTTAGAGTCTTTATCGAGATGATAATGTTGGGAGGGCTCAATTTGTTAAGGAAAAAATTTTGGATGATATTTGGTGGGATAAAATAAAATATATTATCTCTTTTACCTAGCCAATCTATAACATTGTGCGATCCGTCGACACCGACAAGTCAAATCTTCACTTAGTTTATGATATGTGGGATTCTATGATTGAAAAAAGTGAAGAATTGCATTTATAGAAAAGAAGGCAAGAGAGATGATGAATACTCATCATTTTACAATGTGGTACATTACTATCTTTGTTGATCGGTGGAATAAGAGCAATATACCATTACATTGCTTAGCTCATTCACTAAACCTAAAGTGAGCATTTTTTCCTCAAATAAACTTTTAATCTATATTGGTTAGACTATAATAGTTGATATTATTTATGAATGTTTTTCTATCTTGTAGATATTACAGCGCGACTTGGCTCATTGAAGCCCCGAATCGAGTTGCACCACACATGGATCTCGAGATCTCAAATGAAAGAGCTAAATGCTTGAAGAGTTATTTTCCTAACTCCGAGTAGCGGAGAATGGTTAATGTGGAATTTGCTAAATTTTCCGTCGCACAAGATATATTTGCGGATCATGACTCTTTGGATAATAGGGGGGAAATGGATGTAAAGTCTTGGTGGGTTATTTATGGAACATCTACACCAAAATTGTAAGAGTTAGCGTTAAAGTTGATTGGGCATCCTTGTTTCTCTTCTTGTTGTGAGAGAATGTGGAGCACTTGTAAATTTATTCATTCTCTTAAGAGGAATAAGATGACTCCACAACGAGCTGTAGCAGAAGATTTGGTATATGTCCACACAAATCTCCGTCTTCTTTCTAGGAGATCCTCGGAATACTCTAATGGGGGAGACAAAGATGTGGGACATAGGAGGAGATGAATTTGAATCATTCAATGGTGTCGATATTTTAGAAGTTGCAAACCTTTCTCTTGACGAGCCGGAGCTTGAGACCATTATATTTAATAAGTATGAAAATGTTGAATGTTGATTGTCTTCTAACCGGTGCAAGGAATAAAGTTTTAACTTTTGGAATACGCTAGTGAGTTGTAAGTTACTGGATAAGTGCTCCTATCAGTCTTGCAGAGGCAATCGTTGATGCTTGCTGGGCGAAGTTAGATCAAGCAATGCTCAGACGATCCTATAGAAGGGGGTACTTTTAGCTAGATATTAACTTGTAGCTTCGACAACGTAACTTTTGATTCCCTACATAGAATCGTTGTCAATAATATGTTTTCGAGAAGATCATGAGGTTATTGGACCCC